CCCCCCCCTTCAAAACCCGGGACCGAGTAGAAGAGATGCTGATGAGGTGATGGGATATAGCATTCGCCACTTTGATGTTTGTTTTGGGACAGGTGCATGCGATTATGGAGTTCTGGCTGCGGCGCAAGCTGCGCGAGTGTCGAAACACGGCGTACGTGCAGACGGTGCGTTCGAGGGGCAAACCGGCGGATTGGTGGGGCGAATACGTGGAAGAGTTCTCCAACCCTCCGACGCAAAAAGCGATCAAGGACGCCAAGAAGCAAGGCTGGTACCTCAAGCTCGCCAGTCCGCTCGTGCGATTCGTCGTGCTCAAGCTGTTTCTGCTGCCGATCGACTTTGTGCCGTTGTTCGGTATGGCGCTGGGTGCGGCGCTGCGCTCGCTCTCGTACGGTCGCCAGCTGCACACGGCGCTCTTTGAAGCAAAGCGCATGTCGCCGCTCCAGATCGAGCTGTGGATCACCGAGCGTCAGACGGCGTATCGCTCGTTCGGCTTTGCAGCCGCGCTGATGGAGCGCATCCCCCTCGTCGGCATGGTCTTTTCGATCTCCAACCGCATCGGCGCAGCAATGTGGGCGCACGACCTCGAAAAGCGTCAACAACGCATCCGTGCCTCGTCGCTCTCCTCGGATGCTCAACAACTGCAGGAGTTCAAGACCAAGCCTACGCTCAAGAAGATCTACAAGCAGGTGCAGGCGGGCGAGGCAGAGGGACAGTTTAATGGTGAGGGGCTGGCGGTGCTACGCGCGCATAAGGGGGCGGCGATGTTTACACATCTCTCGTTTACGTTTCCGCTCAAACTCATCAGCCCAGCCGCAAGTTCCCGGATCGCTTCACTAGCCAGCGCCAAGGCCGTCGCCGCTCTCTACATTGTCGGCTACGGCGGCGGCTTGGTGTCGGGCGACAGTGTGGAGCTCGACATGGACGTGGGACAGGGTGCATGTGCGGTGGTGCTGACACAGGGAAGCACCAAGGTGTTTAAGACCAGAGCCACCGCTCCGACGCGACACGTGAGCACCATGCACACCGCAGGCCCGGATGCTACCAGCGCTGCGCGGGTGGGGGTGGGGGTGGGGGGGATGACAAGACAGGTGTATCGGTATCTGATCCGGGCCGATGCAACGCTCGTGTTGCTACCGGATCCAGTGACGTGTTTTGCAGCCGCGAGGTACGACCAGGTGCAGCGATTTGATCTTCGCTCGTCCACCTCGTCGCTCGTCATGCTCGACTGGATCACTCCCGGTCGCACCGCTGTATGCCACACTCCCCATGTGCGCGTTTCGGCGCTCGATGCGTTTCCCGAAGCGCAGCGCGGGGCGCAGATGAAGGACTACACCACCCCACCCCGCCTGCCCGAGCGGTGGAAGTTCGACTCGTATCGATCGCGCAACGAGGTGCGTCTGCCCAGCCACTCGACTGCGCGCGACGTGCTACTGCTTGAACAGCACGCGGATCGAGACCACGGCCCCGAGGGGGTAGGATGGACGGAGCTGGCGAGACGCAACTGTCCCTACGACACGTACGCCACGCTCTTGCTCGCCGGACCCGATGCGCAACCGCTCATCGACACGCTCAGCGTCGAGTTCGAGCAGATCCAGATCCGACCTGCCAGCGTGCATCCCGCTGTGGTGTGGTCGCTCAGTGCGGTGGAGGATGGACCGCCGCAGCTTGTGGTGGTTAGGATCGCGGCGGCGTCGGCTGCGCATGTACGCGCGTGGCTGCGTGCGCGTCTGGCGCCGTTGCAAAGCGTCGTGGGTCGAGATCTGTTGAAACAAGCCATCTGAACCCCGCAGTGCCTTTGCGAGCAATGTCGAGTTGAGAGCGCCTCGCTCGTTCACACGCGTGTTGGCAGAGATGCGAAGAGGTGGTTTTTTCGATTGGCACGGCGCAACTTTCTATCGCTTGACACGCTTGGGTGCATCCCACTTTGCGCCGAGGCCGAGGCCGAGTGGTGGTGCCGACGGAGCAGGCGTGGGCACGGGCTGGACGATATCGGTAGGCATTGGGGTTTCGGGCCAGTGCGTTGCCCACACATCCTTCCTCCGCTTCACTGGCCCTTGTCCGAGCCCCACTTTCCTGAGCCTCTCTAGCCTGCGCAATCCGATTCCCGCCGTCAGCAGCACGGCGCCGAAAGCGACGCCGCTAACACCGGCAAAGGCCCAATCGAGTTCCTCCATGTGCGACTTGAGATTCATGCCGAACAAGCCCGCCCAGAGCGTGCCGGCACTGATGCCCATGGTGGCGATGGACGTTTTGAGGTCGAGCGCGAGCAGTTTGTTTCGGTTGTTGTCCAGGATGAGTTCGACGACTTCCTGGGTGTTGCTCATGTCCGACTGCAGCTGCGTCGTTTCGGCCACGACTTCTTCGACTTGCTTATCGAACGATTCGAGGAGGAGTTCGAGTTGGTCCATGCCTTCGCTGTCGATCGTCGGGGTGGAGGAGAGGTACATGAGCTGCATGTCTTGGTCGTTCTCCAGCACCTCGACCACCGCATTCTTGACCGCCTTGGCGCGACTGAGAAACGCATTGAGCTTGCGCGAGACCTGCAACAGGGTCCGCAGCTTTTCGCGATCCACATCATCGTCCAACTCTTCGAGTACGCCCGAAGTCCATCCTCTTACCACCCCGAGTTCGATTCGCAGTGCATCGAGCACCGAGACGAGGATGCTCTCGAGTGCGCGGAACTCGTACGCCAGTCCACTGCCCGATTGGTGGTGCGGTCGCAGGTTGTGTTGCAGGTTGTAGACGAATGCCGAGTGGAGCTGGGAATCCGTGCTGCCGTAGCTATCGAACAAGAGCACCTTGTCCCTCTTGACCATGGCGCGGATGTGCAGTATGTTGACCAAGATGCCCCCGCGACGAGCGAGGATGGTGGGCACCAAGTTGGGCACGCGCGAGTCGATCTTGCGCAGATCGCGCGGCTCGAGCCCATGCTCGGAGCACAGGCGCGACTTTTTAAACACCCCGGACGTCGACGTCGTCGAACCCGTCGAGTCGAAGATCGTACAGCGCAGCATAATGTCCGGCGACAGCTGCGTTGTTCCGAGTCCGCCAAAGTTCGGCGGTGGCGTTGCACCCGCAGCGGCAGGCGTTGGTGGAGGCGCACAAGGCCCTGCAGACGTGCGTGGCCGAGTAGCAGGCGACTCGTGACATGGTGTGGTGGTGCATAGATGCCGTGACGTGGATAGCGATGTGGGTGTGTGAAGCGCTTTGATGAGCACACGTGTGCGCACGATTGCACGCATCCTTCCGATGACCCCCCACCACTCGAATGCTACCGATGGTGGCCAGCTGCCAAACAAGATGAGGCCACAAGAAACGAGGATCTCTCCACTTTTTTCGGCAATGCTCGGAAG